GAAAGAAAGAAAGAAAGAAAGAAAGAAAGAAAGAAAGAAAGAAAGAAGAAAGAAAGAGAAAGGGAGGGAAGGAAGGAAGGAAGGAAGGAAGGAAGGAAAGAAAGAAAGAATGAAATGGAGGGGAAAAACGTTCCAGCTTTTTCCAGGGAAGAAGGAAGCCACAAGAGAGTTGGCGTTTGGGCATCCAGAACTGGTTGAGATGAAGACAAGGGACGCCTGGATCCATTTGGATGGCTCTTCTACACCGTTCCACGTTGAGTTGATTCCTTCCGTTGAGGAAAATGGAAACCGGAAAATGGAAAAAGCCATCTTCCAAAACAGACAAGAACGGGATCCGAATCTCCTTCGAGTAAAATCCAGAAGTATTTTCAGGAAGGGGTGGAGGACACCAGAATTCCTGGGAAGTTTTCGCTCCTTTTTCCCTCTCTCTCTCTTTGGCAAAGTCAGAGGAACGAACCCTGGAAGACTTCCAGCCACTGACCGACCGACCGACCGACCCACCGAGAGAAGTCGAGATGGAGCCGGGTTTTTAAATAAAGAGAATAATTTAAACACTTCGTGTTGGCTTAGCGCTCAAGTTCTCATGCAAGAAGCAAAAAAAACAACAACGCATGCAGACAATCCTTGAGGGTCAGGCCATCCAAAGACACCCCCCCTCACGTCTCCACTGGACTAGGAACCATGCTGTTGGGGGTATCGGGGAGCTGGGACGATAGTGAGGTGACATCGCTGCCCGAAGAGTTGCCCAAGGAGCCAGATTCAGAAATGGAGAGCTGTGAAGGAATATTTTTTTTTTAAAAAAAGGAACAAGATAAGGGAGAGATAAGTTAGAAAAATGGAGTTCACCTCTGGACAATCTCAATGGGTAAAAATCAGGGGTCTTCAAACAGAAGATACTCTATTTTAGTTTGAAGTTACAATGGCATTAAAAAACGATCGGTCACATGATCCACATTCAAGGGCTTGTGTTTTTGAGGGTCTGGCTGGGGAATTCTGGGAATTGGAAATCCGGAGGTCGCCAAGGTTGGACACTCCTGGGCTAAAAGCTTTGCATCCATATTCTGCCAACTTATTTTCTTTCTCACCATGATAAATCCTCCCTCTTTGTGGCTGGACTTAACCCATAGGAAGATTAACCCGTAGGAAGATTCCTTAAACCTGGGTAAATTGCCCCAGGTAAAGGTGGTTTTTCTTTGGGTAACAACACACAAACCCATGATCCACCCCAACAGAGACAATTAAACTGACTTAAGGCCCCATGCACTAAAATATATTTAACAATCTCCCAAAGTATTCTCATTTAAGAGGAAAACCAATGAAATTATCAACTGTGATATGTTTGAAACGGCCTAAAGATCATTCAGGGATGTTGCTTTTATAAATTCCTTTTCTAGTTCTCGGGTTACAACCGTTCCTTGAGCGACCATTCGAACTAGTGACGGTGCTGAAGGAAGGGACCGACTGCCATCGGTCCCTGAATGTTGATAAGGTTTTTCTGATAAGCGGTTTTTTTGCTTAATAAAGGGAGAAAATTGGAAAGCACTTCCCAAAACTGAATCTAATCGTGGCTGCATCTGAAATCTGGCACATTGGGAGAGAACCATCTTTGATGGAGGGGACAGTTATTTGCAATATTTTGGAGATAGATACCCTCAAAAGTCTATGCATGGCAGGATACTTCCGATTTTTTCCGACTTTGGCAACCAAGTCAAGATCTCAGTGAGACAGACAGTAAATACATTTAATTAATTAATAAATTTTGCGCCGCCCTCCCCCCCTGCCCCCAGGCAACGGAATAGAAAACCATCCCTGTCTTCCTGGTATTGAAGCCAACTGGATTTTTGCAGCCAATTCAGATGTCAATTCTGGCAGCTGGACCGAAGCTGCATCCAAACCCACAGGCTTGGCCCCCTTAAGGGATTAATCCATCTTTTGGGCTCGCCCAAGACAACACCAAATCATAACTTTATCACTTTGTGCAACATCTATCCAGGAGGCGCTCTCGTTCTCTCTCTCTTTCTCTCTGTCTCTCTCTGTCTCTGTCTCTGTCTCTCTGTCTCT